ATGCTCTCAGGCAAGGCACCTTAGTGTCTGGACACTTGTGTGTGAAAATCCAAGCCTGACTACCTCCATTTGTAAACAAATGTGAGCAACATGAGCACATTAGTGTCACTTCTCAGTAAATTCAGGGCTAGGAAATTACAAATGTATGTGTTACGAAACAGTTTGGCAAAGCTGTATCAAGATACATTATTCATAGTAATCTTTCTCAAAATTTGACATTTTGGAAAGTTTTCCACTTTGTGCATCATAAAATCATAATGCAGGTTGCAAATCTGATGCTTGGAATGAGGTAGGGAAGCAAGATTATAAAGGAAGAAAAATCTCTGCTGCGGAAGTATTTTGCAGAAGCTTTTTTTTTTTTTGAAAGCTGCTTCATTCAAACATCAAGAAATGTTATTTTGTGTCAGTGGTGCAAAATATCGACTTAAAGGCAGGCAACCTATTTTCTTCTTTTATTACAAAGTTCCAACTTTATATTAGTGTGTGTGGTCAGAGGCAATAATAAGTGTCAAGCCAGGCTTATAAAATAACTCCTAGGCCTTTTAACCTTCAGCGAAGCCCTGAATAAGTGAGTGAGTCTATGGAAGTTGACATTTATGGCACAGCAGAAAATAGATGCCTATTGATGGGCCTATACAACATCTCTGACCGTAGTTCATCTCCCCTTTCAGCAATAGACTTAACAGCACCTGGCTGATGTTAAGGCTGTGACGGTGATTGCCAAGAAAATGGCAGATCTCTTTTGCCACTGAAGATCACTTTGTTCATATGGTCAGCAGACTTCAATTCCTGCCATTTTTCAGAGCCAAGAGTCGTCACATGGCGTAGTTGCAAGTGGGGGAAATTCCTTGCTCTTGGAATCAAGCAGTAGAATCCAGTGGCTTTACCATGTTTGATAGACTCTATTCCTATTTGCACAAACAGCACAATGGGCCAGTGTGGATTCTTACTTTCATAAATGCTAACCAAAACTAACCAAATGATTCCAGTCACTATCTTCTGAATACAATCCATTAACAATTAAACTTATACTTTTCTTTTCCTGCATGTATTCATCTGCTGCACTGCACAAGAACTTTCGTTCAGCTCTTTTACATCCTTCTCCTTTCACTTAGTTTCACAGTCAGAGAACATGCCTTCTTTTTCATTCATTAAGACATGGTATTTGACATTTATTACTTTTACATTCTATTTTGAGATCTTCTGGGAGACATGGTCATCATCAGAGAGGATCATATTTATTGAAATCTGAAAACCATCATGGTTTTGCCAGCTGATATTTTGCAGAATACTTTTTATTAAGATTGAGAAGAAGTGGACTTTCTTGCAAACTGTAATCATATCTTTGACATATGCAATATTCTTTGTTGACAATAAGAACAATACAAATCAGTTTTGGTCTGTTTGGACTAGTTTGCCACCAAGTGTAATCAAAATCCAATTTTATCCCAAGCACGCTTATATTTATCTTTGCATATATATATATTTTAAACCAGATCTCAAAGTCTCTTGAATCAAATCAGTCTGCCCTGAGGTTTTGAGTTGCATGGTCAAATTGATTCATTCTCTCTTTGAATCTTGAATCTCCAAGTGGAATTGAATCATGCCTGATTGGCTCAAGCTAAGAGACTGTATAACATGAAGCATAAAATAAGATAAATTAACAAAACATCTGGTATCTGGACCATTTGGGTTTGATTAAGTATAGGTGTTATTGGAGTGGGTATATTTTAATGTCAGCTTGCTATATATTATGTATATTTTGCAGATGTTGTGCTGCTGAGGTGAACATCTAAAAATAAAATCTTCAATATAAATTCAATGACTGGTGAATTCATGGACACATTTGCTTGGCAACCATATGAAAATTATTTGCTTTCTCTTCTTCTGGAATGTTTTTCTAATTGTCCACTCTAGCCTACAACCCTAATATTTCCTACTGATTTCCTATCAATCTATGCATAGGTATGTATTCATTATTTATTTATTTTATTTATATGATCACCCATCTTGCGCAAGTCAAGTCCTTAAGGTCACTGTACTTAGTTCAGAACTGATTCTTGTAAGATGAAAGTAAATTCACATTATATTTAAAAGGCAAATCATTGATGTTCTATTTCGGATATGACATGGAAACACCAGGTGGGTATTTGTAATTAATTTCCTTGAGCCCTTGAGCTTACCTTGTTCCACCAGTCCTTTGTTTTTGTTTGGAATATCTATTGGAAATTAATATCTTGGAAACTATGAACAAATTTAAACACATATTAATTTGGGTGTGTTTTCTTTTCATCTTTCTGTTTTCCTCCCCAGCTTCTGCTGTTACCTCCATTTTCTACTTAAGAAAATGATCCTTGGAGGCAGTGCTCTGATTTATAAAACTCTATATGCTGATTTCCCAAGAGTGATGTTAATCAATTGCAACTTTTGGCTCATTAAAAAATATCACAGTTATTATGGCTTATGATTTTGAATACAGCAATGGACAGGTATATCCATTTTGATTATGTTATTGAAACCTTTTTCTAACTTTTTTTCCAACCCATTTCTTCTTCACTTTCTATATACATATGCATAGATATATTTACATACCGGTATACAGATATGTGTGTATGTTTAAAATACACACATATTTGTAAAAATACAAGACTTGTATATTTTTATACAGACTATAAAAAAAAACAATAGAAACTAAACAAAATAGAAAGTAAAAGAAATGATAATTGTAGAGAAAAGAAAGGGAAAATCATGACGGATAGAACAAAGAATAAAAAAATGTATAAAGAAATGTCTTTCCCTCTCAATTTCAGTAATTTACCACTTTCTCTAACATTTCAACCAAAGATGTCTTCTTCCTATATGTTATCTTGGTTACGTAGGGAAAACCTGGCTAGAGGAAAAACACACACAAACCCTACGAAGAAGTAAGAATATATATATATATATATATATATATATATATATATATATATATATAT